CCAGCCCGCACACCTCCCCCGTACGCAGCTCTACGGCTTGCATGTACACGGTGGCAGAGGCGGGCAGCAGGATGGCATCCGAGGTCAGCAGGCTGCCCAGCGCGTGGCGCGCCGCGGGCACGATGCCCGACGTCAGCAGGCCTGCGGGGAGGCAGGTGGCGGGCATGGGCTGGAGATCCAGGTCAGCCGGGGCGCATGGCTCCTGTCCAGGCCCTGGCCTGGCCCTCGCCGGCACCCAGGCCCAGGCGTCATCCCCTCCAGCAGCTGTCAGCAGCTGTCTGCTGCTGCGGCAGGCAGCCCCCCCACTGCCGCCCCACCCTCATCGAAGATGTTGGCCACCAGCAGGTTGCAGCACACAGGCACATCCTCCTTCAGCTTCAGGTCCGTGGGCCGCTTGTACACCACGCGGTGCCGCTCCTCGGGGAACTGCGGAAGAAAGGAGGGCAGATCAAAAGGAGGATTGCAGGCACATGGTTCATGTTGATACGTGCCCGCAAGCGAGCGCTGCTGAGGCGCGTGTGCGTGCCTGCTCCCGTTCATGCCGCCCGCCCGCTCGCCGATACCTTGCCCGCTCCCCGCCAAGCCCAGGCCCGTCAGCGCCATCAGCACCCCACCTTGTTGGCCGCCAGGCACTCCTTGCTGGCCAGCGCCAGATACAGCCAGCGCTCCACCGCCGTGACGTGGTGCGCCCCCGCGCGCAGCGCCATCATGGCATGCAGCCCGGCGCCAGACCCCAGGTTCAGCACCCGGCAGTCCTTGTCCTCATCCGCCACCGCCTGCAAAATCAATCAAGACAGCGTGCGATGGAGCGCTGCCGGTATGCTGGCAGCCATTCCAGGCTGGTGAGAAAATGACTAGACGCATCACTGGCGCCGCCAACGGCTCAAGTAGCAGTAGCAGCAGCAGGGAAAGCAGCAGGCAGGTGGGCAGCACGTGCACTGGCCTGCACCGCAGCCTCGATGGCCTGCTGGAAGCGGGAGTTGAAGTAGACATCCTCCAGCAGGCGCAGGTGGCGCTTGGGCATGCGGATGTCGGTCTGCGGAGCAGGCAGGCGGGGGCGGAGCGGCAGGCAGGCAGCTGTGGCGCTGCCCGGGGAGGGGGGCATGACAGCCTGGCGCCGCGGGATCATCCTTCTCAGGGTGGAAAGACATGCCACGCCTCCCTGGCCTTCCCCACTCCCCACAGGACACCTCCCTGCCAGTGGCGGCAGGCACCTGCACAGTGACGTAGTTGTATGTGTCCTTGATGTGGTGGTCGTTCTCAGCCTGGAAAGGCGTCAGCAGCTTGAGCGGCAGCATGTCGTCGGTCTTAATCTTGTGCAGGGGGGCAGAGTATCTGCGGTATAGCAGATGGAGGCAGGAGCAAGGCATCGGATGCGAGTGAGGCATGCCGGGAGACGGCAGGATGGCGGGCGAGCAGGGGACAGCGTGCCGGCTAGTGCCTCGGGCGCATGCTCTGCCACAGCGGCAGCGGCCCGACCGCCAGGCTGGCAGCTCACGGGTGGTAGCTGATGCGCTGCCGCGCCTCTGGGTACTCAATCGCCTTGCGCTCCAGCCCCTTGCCCTCAGCCAGGTCCTGCGGAGCGTGTGGGGAGGCAGGTGGGCACGCCGCCAATCAGCAGGCTGGGAGGCAGGCGGGCATGCTGCCAACCAGCAGGCTGGGGGCAGCACCACGGCTGACAGCGACACAAACAGGCATGTGCGCCCGACGTGAGATAGCTGCGTCGGCTTGCCCTGGCAGCCAGGGCGCACCCGAAGCACGGCCTCGTTCGCTTTCTGCAGCGCCAGCTTGAGATCGAAATTGAAGGGGTCAATCTTCAGCCCTGCGCCCAGCCACCAGCCAGGTCCCAGACTGGGTCAGCAGCGCAAGCCGAGGAGCCATGACGGGAGCAGCAAAGTTCAACACGTGGCAGCACAGCAGAGCCAGCACAGCTGGCAACCAACCGGCCACAAGCCAGCATGAGCCACACCCGCATCCAGCGTGGCTGCCGCCTCCCAGTTGCAGCCCAGCCCAAGCAGCGCCTGGCCCTTGCGCAGGAACGACTTAATGTAGGAGGATGATCCCTTGCAGTTCCTGCAGACGATTCGGGCGAGGGCCGCAGGCGGTGGGTAGGCCAAACCCACGGTGCCACGGCGCGGAGGGTGAACAGCGCGGTGAATTCCATCATGGATGATCCAGCAGCCGCCGCCGCCCACCTGCGCAGCGAGGTCTCCGCCAGCGACTGGCACCTGCCCGCGTGCTGCAGCGCCTCGGTGAACAGGCCCAGCTGCAGGCAGGCCGCCGCGCAGTTGCTGTGGCAGACGTAGAGCTCGGGGTGGGTGACGTTGGAATGCCGCGCCTTTGCAAACAGCGCGTTGTAGGTGGCCACGGCGGCGGTCAGCTCTCCCGCCTTCTGCTGCTTGGTGGCCTCGGCGTTGAAGTCGTTGAGTGTGCGCTGGGCCAGGTAGGCGGGCCCCTGCGCCAGCAGCGCCGCCGTGCGCTGCTCAATGTCGTCGCGCACCTGCACCAGGAGGGAACGGCCGGCCGGCGGCCGGCAGCGGCAGCGGTGGAGTTGACTGGCACGGCTCAGATCAGCGGGCTGCCCGCCTCTCCTCGCTGCGCCGAAATCACCTTTTGCAGGGCGTCCTCGTCGTTGCTGAGAGGCGACTCGGTCGCGGCAGCTGGCTGCTCCTCTTCCGAGCAATCGCCATCGGGCTCGGCCTCCCGCTGCGCTTGGCTCGCCCCCAAATCGTCTTCTGGGCATGTGGTAGCCATCGCAGCGGCAGAACGCGCTCTTGGAGGCTGCAGTTGTCTGTGCTCGCCAGGGGCCTCAAGTGAGCGGGGCAAGCAGCAAGGGGAGGTGCACGGGGGGGACCAGCACGCTCAATCCGGAGAACTGGATGCAATTGCGAGTTGTGGTAGAAGAAGAAGGGGCACGCTGAGGTGGCGGCGGCGGCAGGAGAGCGGCCGCGGGTGGCGGCGGCCCCGGGCCCTGAGATGTGTGCTATGGAGACTTTACAGCGGGTCAACGGCGCCATCGTGGCACCAGTGGGGTAGTACGGGAGTGCATAGAAAGTGTGCAGTTGGTAGCGTATTCAAATACCTCTCGGCAGGGAGGTCAGCAGTGCAGGAGGAGATCGAGCAAGTATCAACAGGGCCGTCCGGTGCGCCGCGCACTCACGCTTCCACGTGCGCGCGCTTGCCGCCGCAGCCTCCGCCGTGCTGGGCGGCCGCGGGCGCTGCCGCCTGGCCGCCAAACTCCTTGCTGCTGTCGTTGCCGGAGGGGTAGTCGATGAAGGCGGGGCGGCTCTTCAGGCCCAGCAGCTCAAACATGGCCAGGTCCTCGTTCCGGTCGTTGTTGGGCGTGGTCAGCAGCTTGTCGCCGTCAAAGATGGAGTTGGCGCCCGCCATGAAGCACAGCGCCTGCGGGGCAGGAGCACGATGGCAGGTGTAAGGCAGCGGGGACCGTGAGGAGAGGTGTGAAAGGCACCCCCGCAAGCAAGCACGTGGCAGGCACATGGGCTCTTGTGCAGACATGTTGGCGGCACAACCTCTGGATAAACTGCCAGCCGGCCAAAGCGAGCCGACCAAGGCTGCATGGCAAAGCCCGGCAGGGCGCCGCCGCCCACCCCACCACCCCACCTGGTCTGCAAAGGAGAAGTTGAGGCGGCCTGCCGACAGCCGCACCACGGTGCGGGGCATGATGATGCGGGCGGTGGCCACGCAGCGTGCCACGTCCAGGCCTGGGGCGGGAGCAAAGGGGTGCGGAAAGGTGGCGGGGACGGGGTCAGCGAGTGGCAGCAAGGAAGCTATCCGTGAGCCCTCCTTCCCAGTCACTCCAAGCCAAGCCGCCGCATGAGCTGCGCTGCTGCCCCGTCAGCCACCTGCTGCCGGCCTCTGCTCACCCGAGGGCGCCTCATTGTCCTGCATGGGTGTGCCCTTGACCGCCACCAGCGCATTGATGGGCACGCTCTCAGGGTGCGCCGCCAGCGTGGCCAGCTGCGGGGGGGGCGGCAGGCGGCGGCGCCGGCATCAGCAGCACTGCCAATGCCACCTGCCTGTTGCATGGCGGCAGCATCAGCAAGAACCACACACGCGCACCGACCACCACCGCCACCACCGCCACCACCCCACACACGCTGGCCCCACCCTCACCTGGTGAAGCAGCCCCACGCGGTCCAGCTGGCCCTCCCCCAGGCCGATGATGCCCCCCGCGCAGACAGAGATGCCCGCCTGCCGCACATTCTCCAGCGTGGCCAGCCGGTCCTCATACTTGCGGCTGGTGGTCACCTTGCCGTAGTACTCTGCAGGGGAGGGAGGGAGGGGGCGGCAGGCAGGGTGAGGGCAGGGCCAAGCGAGGGCCTCTCCGGCCGGGGCAGCCCCTGCTGTGCTCCCTCGCTCGCCCAACAAGCAGCTGGCCTCCCGGTGGCAAGAGACCACCCCCTGCCATTCCGCCCGCCACCCCAGCCCCAGCGTGGAGCGAGCCCCACCACCCCACCCCACCCACCCGGGCTGGTGTCCAGGTTGTGGTTGTAGGCGGTGAGGCCGGCCTGCCGCAGCTGCGCCGCCTGCTCCGGGGTCAGCATGCCCAGCGTGGTGCACACCTCCATGCCCAGGCCGCGGATGCGCCTGCGGGCAGCGTTTGGTCGTGAGTGGATGCGTCGGCTGGGTGGAGGTCCGACAAACAGGCATGTGGGCCAGCAAGCCAGAAGCAGGGCGCAGGATGGGGGCAGGCAGTGTGGCAGGGAGTGGGTGCAACTGGCCGCAGCTGGCCCGCCTGCTCACCCGACCATCTCCAGCACACGCTCCCACTGGCCCTTGCCGACCTGGGAGGGGCCGCGCCAGGCGGCGCCCATGCAGAACCGGGTGCTGCCAGAGGCCTTGGCGCGCAGGGCCGCCTGCGGGCGCACGGGAGGGCAGGCCAGATGGGTGGGGCAGGCGGGAGCGAGCTGAAGCAGGGGCCGACATGGCTGCAGGACAGGCTGCACCATTCGCCATGCCGCCCGCATCTTGGACGGCAGGCAGTGTGGCAGGCGGTGCGACAGGCGGTACGGCCCCGCCGTACCTCGTACACCTCCTCCAGCCCCATCAGCTTCTCCGCCTTGGTCCCCGTCTCCTTGCTCCAGCTGCTGGACTGGCTGCAGTAGCCGCAGTTCTCGGGGCAGCCCCCCGTCTTGATGCTCAGCAGTGTGCAGCGCTGGACCTGTACAGGGGCAAGCCGCACGGCAGGCGCAGGCGGGGGGGACGTGGATGGGTGCCGAGCTAGGCTCGATGGGTCAAGGCCACAACAGGGCAACCGTCGCTTCCTGCCCCTCCGCAGCATGGCGTCTGCCCATCCTGCGGCTCCCTCCATGCATCCGCATACATGATGCATCCGCAAACATGCAGGTGGTGCAATGGCATGTAGGTATGCAGCACCGGGGCCGCACAAGCAGGAGGGCATGGCGGCGGCGGCGGCTCACCATGGCGGGGTCATTGTACATGCGGTGCACGCTGGCGGCTGTATAGACCAGGTCCAGCAGCGGCGTGTTGTACACGTCCGCCACCTCCTCGCGCCTGCGACGGCAAGGCAGTCCAGCAGGCATGGCTCGGCAGACGAGGGCTGGGGCAACGGCTCGCGCCGCCGCCGCCTCCAGCTTGCCCCGCGCGGCGGCCCCAGGCGGCTGGCGGCCCAGGGCAGCTCCCCCAGCCCCGCTCACGTCCAGTCGGTGCGGATGGAGCCCAGCTCCTGCTGCCATCGGGCCTTGCCGGCCGGCTCTGCTGCCTGGAGCGGGGAACTGTCGTCGGCCGGGACGGGCTGCACATGTTGTAGGCTCGTACTGCTAGACAGGTCCCTACTGCGCACCGACAGCCCCGCCCATGCGCCAATGCGCTGGGCGGTGCACAGCCGCACCGCCACCGCGACTTGCCGGGAGGCCATCGTTGCGTGCAGGGCCGATGGCGATGCCTGCAAGCCGCCAGGACAGCTCGGGGCCTTCCGATGAGCCAGAAGAGGATGGGGCCAGCCTGGCGAATGGGTCAGCCCTACCCCAAACTGCTCCCATGCTCATTGCATTATCCCGATCGCTGCGCAACCGAGCCGGTTGTATCGTGCACAGCTGCCTGACGGGCCTGCTACATGCTGCTGGCTCCCCGACCCTCATCGTAGACACCCCTGCTGCATTGGCAAGCGGCACGCCCTCAGAATGCTGGGGCTGGGACCCCTGTATGGCGGCGGCTACTGGGTGGCCCTGAGGCAGCTGGCGGTGGTGAGCCCGCCGCCTGCGCCGCCGCCCAGCCACCGTGCCGGGCGCCCGCCGCTGCCTCCCTCCAGCCACCTCCCCAGCGCGCACCTGCTGCGGCGGACTGCAGCTTGGGACCGGCTCATGAATGTCTCCCTCGCCTGTGTGCAGGTGTACTACGCAGCGGGCGCTGTACTGCACTATGTAGTGCCCGCACTGTTCCCTGTCAAGTCGGTGCAGAAGGGACAGCCGCGCCAGGGGCAGGTCACCTCTGAAGCGCTGTACAGCCTAGGTGCGCCACCATCCCCTCCATTGCTACCTCTCGTAGCTGCATTCTGTATGATTCTGTCTGCGCCGTCATCCCTGATGGCTGATGGCGCGTGCGCTCTTTTCCACACTTCATTCTCCTGCCCAATTGCAATTGCACTCCAGGCCCGCTGCTCATCAAGGCGGGCGTGTGGACGCTCGTAGAGCAGCTGCACCAGAGAGGGCACACCAAGCTGTACACCGGCTGGCCGCCGGATGCCTGGCAGGTGCGGCGTGCGGCAGCGGCAGCGGCGGCGGCGGCGCTCCACAGGCGTGCTCCCTTCCCTGTGGCCTGTGGGCGCGCCCCTCTCCTGCCGCAGCCCTTCACGCCCACATACATCCACACACAGAAACACCGTGCCCGGCTCCCTCCTCGTCTTCCTCGTGTGCAGGCGCTCTACATGCTGCTCACTGTTGTTGCTCTGGACTACCTGCATGATGCTTGGTTCTACTGGACCCACCGCCTGCTGCACTGGCGCCCGCTCTACGTCCACGTCCACGCCCCGCACCACACGTGAGCGCCCGGCCAGCCCTCCTTGGCCCGTACCTGCCCCTGCCCTGCACCCACCCTAGACTTCTGCGCTCCCTGTCCCGGCACCCCCAGGCCAGGCCGCACCCTGCCCTGCCCCTGCCCTACACAGCAGCAGCGGGTGCACAACCTCACCAGGTCACCTCTGCGCTCCCTGCCCGCCCCGTCCTGCCCCTGCCGCAGCTCCACAGTGCCCACAGCCTTCACCGGCTACAGCTTTCACGTTGTGGAGGCGGTGATTGTGTTTGCCAACGAGGTGCTGGTCTGCTACCTGCTGCCAATCCACCTGGGCCTGCACCGAGCCTACCACCTCTTCACCACCGTCATCCACCAAGGTGGGGCAGGCAGGGCAGGCAGGGCAGTGGGCGGCAGGCTGCTGGGGTGCCCGCGCGGCGCTGCCGATGGCGGCGCAGCTGACCTTGGTGCCCTCTCCCCGCCCTGCGTCCCGCGCCTGCCTCGTTCTGTGCTGCAGGCGGGCACGCCGGGTACGAGGTGGCCCCCTTCCTGCCCACCCTGGAGCAGCTGGTCAGCCTGGCGCTGATCGGCGCGCGCCCCTGCCCCGCGCTCAACACCGTGCGCCACCACGACATGCACCACCGCTTCCCGCGCGCCCACTTCAGCCTCTACATGACGCACTGGGACCGACTGTGCGGCACGGAGCACCCCAAGTACCGAGCCGAGGTGGAGGAGCACTTCAGGGCGCCGCCCCGCTCTGAGGCGCCGCCGGTGCCGGCGCCGGGCGAGCAGCAGCAGCAGCAGCTGCCGCAGAGGAGGAGGAAGGTGCCACTGGGAGCGGCTGCGGCGGTGGCGGCAGCATGAGCGGGCCAAGCATCGCCCTCTTTTAGTTTGTACTCTCTCTCTACTCTTTTTCTGACACCATTGAACATTGCTTCATTGCTTACTATGAGTGCAGACCACTCAAACACCTGAAATATGTCACAGCAAGCTTGAAGCCAGTAGCGTGCATGACACCATCCGGCATGCAGTGCAGAAGCAGGGCACAGGATCGATGGGCGATGGCGGCAAGCGCCCGGCGACTCAGTCCTTCACACCTGCTGTTCCTCTGTGCTTTTGAGGCAGCTGGGGATGTGTCTGTCCCACACTGGCGTCAGCTGTGAATGTGGAGTGAACATCCTGACTGGAGAGAGCAAGGCATCGAAAGCAATGGCACAGGCCCCCCGAAACATATGAAAAAATCCGAGCTGTGTTGATTTGTCTGATTTTTCAGAGAAGCAGAGCATGTTGTGGATTGGTGGAGCTTGTGCTGGCGCTGACGGCAAGAAACACGCACACATGTTGCCAGCGCCATGAGCACGCTAGCCGGGTGGCTGCCGCCGCAGCTCGTCCACTGTCGGCACGCCACCCAGCATGGACATGGTTGGCAGCTCCAGCGCTGACGCCACCTCCACCACGGTTTCCAGCCCCCCAGGGGCCTGCTGGCCCTCCAGGCCCATTAGCTGGGAGGGATGCATGGAGGGCAGCGTGCTGCCCGTGTTTCGCCTTTCGAGCCCTGTGCGCCCGTCGATCAGCGTCATGATGCTCCTGCTCCTCGGGTCCAAGGGGCTGAGCAGGCCGCGGGCGCTGCTGGCGTGCGGGGCGCTGCTGCCCACCACCACGCTGTCCCACGACTGCCTGCTGGGCCTGGGGCTGGCCAGGGACACTGAGCCGCTGCCCTCGCGGCTCTTGGCGGGCTCGCTGGTGCCGGGGCTGCCCATGTTTGGGATCCCGGACAGGCCGCGTATGTTGACCTGCGTCGCCGCGCGCTGCAGCAGCGCCTCCACCGTGGTGCTGTCCAGCTGCTGCAGGGTCTGCATGCGCTCCAGGATCTCCAGCGCGATCGACCCGCCGTGGGCAGAGGGGTTGCTGGCAACGTCGTCCTCCCAGACAGACGACTCCTCCGCCGCCTCGATGGCCGCCTTGGCCTTGGCCGCCTTGACCGCCACCAGCCGGTTGCGTGCCTGCGGGCCAAGGCAGCGGCGCCGGCAGCAGCAGCAGGTGAGGCGTGCATGGTTGCATCGGAGGTGCGCTGCTGGTGCTGGGGTGCTGCTGCTGCTGCGTCCTTGGCGTCATGGCTTGCACCCGCATTGTGCGGCCGCTGGGCTGCCTGCCGTGGCGCGCTGGGCCAGCCTGCCGGTGCAAGGCCGCCCACCCACCATGATCCCGGTGATGGGCAGGGCCGTGTGCCGCAGGCCCGCGGGCGGGAAGGGGTTGAAGCTGCGCTTGAGCCAGGCCATGAAGCCCTTGACCGTCGACTTCTGCTCCTCGTAAGGCCGCAGGGTCTCTGTGAAGTCCCGGCTGCGCACCTCCCCTGCACAAGAGCAAAGGGCACGGGTCCATGGCGATCAGCGGTGCCCTTGCCTGAACCGCCTGCAACCGGACTAAGCATGCCCTCCAAAACCGCAATCCCCCACATCCCATGCACTTGCGCCCGCCGCCCGCAGCAGCAGCAGCAGGCCCAGGCAGCTTAGGCCCAGGCAGGCGCACCCGTCATGATTCCCTTTGGCTCCATCTCGCCGGTGGCACACACCAGCTCCTTGTTTGGGTATCTGCGCACACGGCATGGTTGCCCGAAATCAGGGGCATGCGCATTCAGTGGATGGAGCATGCCGGTTGCAGCAGCGGCAGCAAGAGCAGAGCCGAGCGCTGGACACAGCGCGCCGGCGAGGCACTCGACGCAGGGCTGCCCAGAGGCTCACAGGCGGTAGCCCAGGAACATGCCCAGCTGCGCCAAGGTGAAGTTCCGGAAGTATGAGCCGACTGCAGGGCAGGGCGCAGGGACAGAGGCAGGGTCATGAGCCGTAATGCTCCTGCTTCGTCCGCCATAGCGCATACCATTTGGCACTTCTGGGCAGGAAGAAGTAGGGGCAGCAGGGAGGCAGCTCCAGCCGGGGAGTGCAGCAGCAGGGGCAGCAGGGAAGCACGAGCTCGCCTGCCGGCGCCAGCTGCGTCGCCATCAGCGCCAGCTCGTCGATGCTCCAGCTGTACAGCAGGCAGTTGGTCTCTGCATGTGCCGTGAACAGGTGCTCATCATTCTTCACCATGCCGTTGAACACGCCAAACACGCTGAGCAGCCCTGCGCCAAGCGATGCGGGTGTTGCATGTCAGGCGGCACCATCCCGCGGCGTGCGCCGCTGCGGCGCCCAGTTCCGTCCAGAGGGAGGGGCCGCCAATGCAAGGCCGCCCGGTGAGGCCTCCCACACAGCTGCCCGCCGCCCCCGGCCCGTTCCGCAGGCATCCACAGGCAGGCAACCGGCCGGCGAGCCGCGGGACCCACCCATGTCGAAGCAGGATCCCGAGAGCAGGGGCCGCGGCTCCACCAGCAGCCCTTTGTACATGGAGTTTATCTTGGCCTGCCCCTCCACCAGCACAAAGAAGCGCAGCCGCGCCTCGGGGCCGTGCACGATGATGTCGCCAGCCCGCACCCGCACCCACTTGCCGTACCGCAGGGCCTGCGCCGGGGCAAGGCAAGGGCCGTGGCAGGCTTTGTGGTACAGCAAGGGCGGCATGCCTGTGAGGGAGGTCGGCCTCCTGGTAAACTCAGGGTGGGGACCGCCTGCTCGGGGAGCAGCCCACCTGCTTCATCTCCAGCCGCCCCATCCCGCCCCTGCGGTAGAAGAAGCGCCACAGCTGCTCCTGGTCCTCTGTCTTGAAGCGGATGTGCCGCTCGTCCAGCACGAGGCGCGTCAAGGCGTGGCCGTGGAAGATCAAACACAGCACCGCCCTGCAGGCGCGGGCGCGTACAGCAGCACAGCGGAACAGTGGGCGGTGGTCGCACGGCGTGTGGAAAGGCGAGTGTAATCCACAGCAAGCGCCGGTGCAGCCTCTCACCAAATCAGCGCATCCAGGGCAAGACCGCCGGTGTATGAAAGTCCAGGCCATCTTGGCATGCCGAGGCTGGATGCTGCAGTGGGCCGGCGATTGATTGGGGTTTCATAATAAGCAAGCCATGATGCAATTTTGCAAGGACAAGGAGGCTGCCGCCGCTCCGCTGCCGGCAGGACAGCATCACCCTGCACCCTGCCTGCCCGCTGTCGACACACGTGCATGCCCCAGAGCATCTGTAGAGAGCGACACAGCGCTTCCCGGGGCCAAAACCAGCTGCACAGGATAGGCAGCATGAAGCGGGATAGGCTGCTGCAAGCAGCGCTCACCGATGATGAGGCATACATATGAGCAGCACAGGAAGAAGCGTATCAGCATCACGTCGCAGACCAGTGCCACAGCGAGGAAATTGGCATTCGCCAACTGGTTGAACAGCCCCGCAGCGTGCATTATGTAGACCATCGTGGTAAGATTTCGGCCAAAGGCCGCTGAATGGAACCACTAAACGCAGCAAGGCACTGCCGACATCGTTGGGAGGTGCACGCACTGCATGCTGAGGTCCCGCCGGCAGGAGTCACATGTGTCCCCTTATCAATAAGGCCAATGCATGCTCGTGCCTGCCCCTCTCCCCCTCAGAAGACGTCGTTTATCGTCTTTGTGACGGGGCTGGAGGGGGTGGAGATGCTGCTGCGGTTGAAGTGCGAGGGCGGCACCGGTGAACCAACCGGCACCCGGCCCGCCGGCATCGACCTGACGCTCGAGTGGTGGCTGGGCACAGACCCATCCCCTGTCAGGCGCTCCAGCAGCTCGTCCACCGAGGTGAGGTGGATGTGACGCAGGCTCTGCATGCCCGACAGGATCTCGTAGGCCTTCAAGCCGCTGTGCGCCGACACCTCCGCCAGCTCCTCCTCGCTCCTCCCCGACTTCTCCTCCAGCCGCTCCAGCGCCGCACGGGCCCAGGCCGTCTTCAGCGCGATGGCCCGATTCCTGGCCTGCACATGCGGTTTGGGGTGGGGGGCGCAGGGGGTTGCAGCACCATGGAAGATGGCCTGTCCGCCGTGTGCCAGTCTGGTGGAAGCCCTTTCCACTTCCTTTCTCTCTCTTGTGAAATTGGCTGGCCCCAGTGGCAGCAGCTCTTACCAGGATGCCGGTGATGGGAAGGGCCGTGTGCCGCAGGCCCGCAGGCGGAAAGGGGTGGAAACTGCGCTTGAGCCAGTGCCACACGCTGCTCAGCGTCGGCGTCTCCATTTCGTACTTCCGCAGCGGGTCGGTAAAATCCCGGCTGCGTTCCCCTGCATTGCGCAACCGCCACAGAAGCAACAAGCTTCGAGCAGCCAAAAGTTTGCCGCCAACAGCAGCAGCAGCGGACATGTGCTGCTGCCCATCACCTTCAAAAATGGCCTCCTGCTCAGGCTCGCCGGTGGCGCACAGCAGCTCCTGGTTTGGATGCAGCCGCATCCAGAACCACATCCCCAGCTGGCACAGCGTGAAATAGCGCCAGTAGGCCCCAACTGCAGCGCAGAGAGCCAGGGTCAGCGGATGAAAATCGCTGACCACCGTGGAGCCTCAAAGCTTCTCACACCAGAGCGTATAGGCTTGCCTGCTGGAGCCAGCTCCGTGGCGATGGTTGCCAGCTCATCGATGGTCCAGGTGTACAGCAGGCAGTCAGTCTCCGCGGTCGCAGAAAATGTGTGGGCGTCTCCCTTTTGGAAGCCCATGTAAATGCCAAAGCTGTTCAAGGTGCCTGCACACACTTGAAAAGGCGATGCTTTCGGGTCCCCCTATGCGGGCTCAAGCAGCACCAGGTCGCCAACGCGCCCGTCTGCGCAGTAGCAGCAGCGCACGCCCCGCTCACCCATATCGAAGCAGCAGCCGCTGTATTGCGGGCGTGGATCCTCGGGTATGCCACGGTACATGGAGCGGATCGTGGCCACGCCTTCCACCAGCACATGAAAGTGCAGGCGTGCGCCATAGCCGCGCGCGATGGAGCCGCCCTTTGGCACCCGCAGCCAGCTCCCATAATTGAGGATCTGGAAGCAGCAGGCGACAGCAAAAGCAGCAAGCACAGGGCAGCGCACCAGGTGAAGGGGCTGGGCAGATGCCTCATACGGGCGACTGGAAGGGGCCAGCGGTGACAAACACTCATGTGCCTGCAACCATGCATGGCAGCAGCGAGCGCCCCACGCTTGCGGGCTGCACCTGCTTCATCTCCAGGCGTCCCATGCCGCTCCTGCGGTAGAAGAAGCGCCACCTACAACCCCACAAGAGCCCCGCAGGGAAGCAGGGCGGCTCTGACCAACCGTCCAAGCCAGGCAGGCAGCTCTCTGTCTCACGCGTGCACACACATTGCATGCATGCCATGCAGCACAGCTCTCACAGCTGCTCCTCGTCCATGCTGCGGAACTTGATGCGGCGCTCGTCGTAGATCAGCAGGTACAGGGAGAGGCCGTGGAAGGACAGGGACAGGGACGACCAGATCAGGGTGTCCAGGGCAATGCGGCTCATCCACCCCACACTGGGCCACGGCGGGAAGCCCAGCAGTGCAGCTGCGGCAGGGGCGGCAGGAGAGGCAGGCAGGTAGGCCGGCCAGCCATCAGGCGGGAAGCTGCGTGAAAGCGGCTGGGCTGCTGCAAGTGTATTGATGCGTGCAAAATGGCGGGCCGCTGCCAAAAGCACAGCCATGGATGCCAGCGGTGCTCACAAGTGAGAAGGCAGACGTTTGCCAGCACGAGGAACAGCCGGATAAGCAGCACATCGGACACGAGTGCTGAGCAGAAGAACCAGAGGTTGCCGAGCTGGGCAATTGGGCCACCCGGCTTCAGGACCAGCACCATTGCTTCCTTGCGCAGCCGCCGTTGGCCGCCGCTGGGAGTGAGCGGTGGCAGGCGGCGGTGTGGTGGCTGTGCAACTTCCGCAAGTCTCCAGCGCCAAGCACACTACCCAGCGCGGCTGCTACACCTGCTAGGTGCTGCCACACTCTCTTGTTTCGTGCCCCAGGCGATGGCCGGCAGACGTCTCCCTTGACAATGACCCCCAAAGAGACTCTTCGGCAGCTCTGATCAACCGCAGTGGGGAATTGGCTCTCCATGAGCAAAGTCCTCCCGCCTCGCTGGCACGGAATCGTGCTCGGGTAGTTTGAACCTCAGCACCCCAGAGTTGTTTGGCTTGCAAGCGAGAACAAGCGGGTGCAGGGGACCTGCCTGAGGCCCTTGTAGACGCCGAGAGCCCCCCGATCGGTCGGTGCAGGATGAAGCTACAGTTCAGGGCTGGCGCTTGCAGCCCATTGGTGACGTGCCGATCACCAGCAGGCAGCTCTAGCAGGCACCCCAGCAGCCAGAGAGGACTCAGCGGCCTGCAGCAAACCCCCACGCAGCACCTGGCGCAAAGGTGCGATCTTTTGGCTGCTGCCCGGTCAGGTAGAGTGCTGCAAAGGGTCGACGCGCCGGCTGGGGGAGTCTCGGCGCCCCTGGCAGCAGCGCCGCACTCTTGCCGTCCGTGGGTGTGTTCCGCTGGCGGCAGGAGGGCCTCACTGCCCTGCTTGGGGTCCCACGCTGCTGCGTGCGCGCAGGTCGTCGCCCGCTGCGGCAGCACCGGCGACGCTGGTGCGGGCCCCGGGAGCCAACAACATCCTGGAGCTGAACGAGCACCGCCGCGGCGTGGGCCTCTGCATCTACCGCGCGTCTGACGGCAAGGTGTTTGCGGCGCAGCGCATGGACGACCCGCAGATGAGCTGGCAGATGCCGCAGGTGGGCCTTGGCGGCCGGCAAAGGGGCCGGAAATGACCAGCCTGGCGCAGCTGATGCGTTGGACCTTCCAGGCTGGGCGCACGGAAGCACAGGGTCACACCGTGGCATGGCTGCGCCGCCGCGGCAGCTGATGGGCTGGGGCGTGGCAGCTGACGCGCTCGCTGGCGCGGTCCATTCCCTGAGCGCAGGGCGGCATTGACCCTTTGGAGAACCCCATGAAGGCGGCCCTGCGGGAGCTGCATGAGGAGACGGGCATTACCGCGGTACGCATCGTCGCCAGCATCGACCGGTGGCTGGAGTACTCGTTCCCCACCAAAGTGAAGGCGCAGATGCCGGGCAGCTTCCTGCGCTACCGCGGCCAGACGCAGGTGCGCGCTGCGGCCGCCTGATGCGTCAGCATGATCTGGCCCCAGCCTCTTTGTTAAACCCTTTCTCGCACCCCGCCCTGCACTTGCTCCTGACATGCTTGCCCTGCCCACTTGTGCCCCACCCCTGCCCCACTCATGGTGCCTTCCTGCTGCTGCTTCAGAAGTGGTACCTGCTGGAGTACCGCGGGGACGAGAGCGAGATCGACCTGTCCTGCCACGGCCACCCCGAGTTCTCACAGTACAGCTGGGCGGCGCTGGAATCGCTGCCCGACGGCGTGGTGGATTTCAAGCAGGGCGTGTACCGCCAGGTGGCCCGCCACTTTGCGCCCGAGATTGCGCGCCGCGTGGGCCAGGCCGTCGCCTGAGCTCGCGTCCGGCGCGGGCAGCAGGCTGCTGCCACTGGAGGAACCGCTGGCAAGGTCCTGCTTTGCTGCAACCCTGCATGCTGTCATGCCCTGCCCCTCCTTGCACCAGTTTACTCACTGCACCACAACCATTCCTTCCGCCTTGTGGCTCCCATCCGCATTCAAGGGTCCTCTAGATGGCAGGCAGCGCTTTGCGGCGCTTGCCTTGCCAGCCGGGCCCTTTTCCTTGTGCAAACACCACTTACTTTTTGGCATCCCCCATTTTTTGCCTCGCGGCACGCCATGCCCAAGGCTGCTGCCGACGCAGCAGCGGGCGCCCGCCAGCCCTCTTTTCCACCCCTTGAACAAACGAAACTCTTTGCAAACCCCTTGAGGCCCTGCCCCCTGCCCTGTGATTTTGTATCATGCAGCCGGCACGCGCTTTTGTTTCATTGACCCTGATTCAGCGGCTTTGGCGCCCTCCTTTGATCCACCCCCTCCCATCTCGTTGTGTACACCCTTTGATGTAAACAGTAACCTGTTGCATCTTGTGCTCGGAAAAGAAGTGTGTGTATGGCATGTCGGCGCCATCCTCACCCCAGCTGGCATCCACCGTAGCGCATGGCCAGCTCGGCGCCGTTACAGCCCTGCCGATCCAGGTCCAGCCCATCCCCGCAGCCCCAATCAGTACTCGGCCAGCACCTCGCGGGCGAAGCGGTAGGCGTTGCTCCAGCAGGGCTGGCACAGGTCGATGGGCACCTTGTCCTGCTTGTTGCGCAGGTGCTTGTCGGCGCCGTGCTGCAGCAGGTACTTGACAATCTCCACGTGCCCCCGCATCGCCGCCCAGTGCAGCGCGCCGTTGTCGCCCTGCGGGCAGCGTGGGCCAGCGGCGGTGTGACCAGCGGCGAGGCAGGGCGTGTGCTGGCGCAGGTGCGGCGCACGGCACGCTCTACCACCACGTCTCAACCCATGCTCCATACACACAAACACCACAGAATCAGCTCCAGCAGCAGCACAGGCAGCTCTGCCTGCCCCCTGCCCCACCAGGTCCAGGGAGTTGACGTCTGCCCCGCTTTCCACCAGAAACTTGACGGTTTGGAAGTGGCCGTTGTGGGCGGCACGGATGATGGGCGTCTCGCCCATCTGCGGGGTGGGGAGGCAGGCGGGCAGGAGAGGGTTTGCGCGGGAAGGGAGGGGCAGGCGGGAGGTGGGAAGGAAGCAGGCAGGCAGGCAGCAGCAGCCCCCAGCACGGAACTAAGCCGGGCGCCGGCACTGCCTACGCACCACATTGCGCTGCTCAATGTCGGCGCCCTCGTCTAGAAGCAGCTTGCAGCACGCCAGGTGCCCTGCAGCAGCATGCACGCATCCATGCAGGTTGATAGAGGGCCTAGCATGCTGGCATGCTCGCATTCATGACCGCTGCTGAAGATGGCTGGGGCTGGGGGATTTGGGGCTGCTGCTCACCGTTGCCGGCAGCAAGCAGCAGCGGCGGGTCGCCGCAGTGGTCGGACTCGTTGAGCGGAGCGCCCTGCACAGGTGCCAGGATTCTGAGCTAGTTTTAGCGGCAAGGCGCCGGTCCTCCTCCTCAGTTCCGTGTTCGTGGGCAGCGGCAGCGGCGGGCGGTAGTGACTGCCCACCTCCTCCAGGTGCTCCTTCACCCAGTCATAGTAGCCGTCCACGCAGTCCCGCCATATGTTGGACTTCTCCGGCACGAACTTGCCGTTCTGCGGGCAGCGCGGGGCGAGGGGTGGGTAGGGGAAGAGCAGGGGACGTGGGACCAGCGCAACTCACGATCAAGTCAAACGGCATGGCTGCTGTCTCGGGCGCTGCAACACCACTATATCGCCGGCCCGCTCCCCTGGAGGTGATCCTGAGCGCCGAGAGACAGTCAAAGCCCGCAGCAGCGTGCTGTGACACCTGGCAGACCCTGAGGAACCGCCGCCTGATCACATAATCGCTGCCAGCTTGTATCAGCACTCATGTGCATTCATCCGGAGGTCTGCAGCAGCGAGCTTCGCACAACCTGTGGTTTGGACCATTCATTGCCGTGTCCGCGCCCCCGCTCGCTGGCAGCACTTTTGCTGAACCACTAGGGTGGCCGCCATGGCGGCGGAAGGGGAGGAGCGGCCCGTGAGCCTGCTGCACCGCAGTGTGGCGGCGGCGGGGGCCTCCGTGGTGTCTGCATTCGTCGTCAACCCGCTGGACGTCGTCAAGGTGTGCGAGTGCGCCTGTGAGCATGCGGCAGGCAGGCGCTGGTGGTAGCTTCCAGGTCACCTGAACACATCGCCCGCCGCCGCCGCCGCTGCTGCAAACGCCGCGCCTGCCCTCTTTGCTGGCTCCCTGCAGACGCGCATCCAGGCTCAGGGTGCCTTTGGGCTCGACAAGAAGATGCTGGCCCAGTCGGATACGCTGCTGGAGTGAGCGGGGGATGCAAGGGAGCCTGTTGTCTCGCTCTCTTCGGTTGATCCCTGCCCACCCGCCTGCCGCTGCTGAGCCGAGCCCGCCACCATGCCCCTGCGCCTGCAGGAAGTGGTCCTTTGCTGCCTGCGAGTGCTTCCGCGTGCAGCCGCCGGCGGCAGCCGTGCGCGGCGCCGCGGCCTGCGGCCCCGCCTGCACCAGCACCGCCGCGCTGGCGGCGCCGCTGTACAGCGGAACCCTCGACGGCCTGCGCAAGATTGCGGCGCGGGAGGGGGTGGGGGTGCTGTGGCGGGGCACCGATGTGGCGCTCATGATGGCCATCCCTATGGTCGGCATCTACCTGCCCCTGTACGACTACCTCCTGCAGCAGCTGCAGCAGGAGCAGGCGGGCGCCGCAGCACCGCTGGCGGCAGGCACCCTGGCCCGTACTGCCGCCGTGTACTGCACAGCGCCCTTCGAGCTCGCGCGCACGCGGCTGCAGGCCGCGCACAGCCACGCGGCGGCGCCGGCGGCCGCGGTAGCAGCAGGTGGGCCGCCGGTGTGGGGGTTTCCCCTCGTGCTGTGGGAGCCGCTCGGGGGGCGGCTCGGTGCTGCCTGCCTTGCAGCCACAGGCCAGTTGGCGGCCAGCCAGCCGCCAGCCCAATCCCAGACCCACCCTGCTGCGCCCCCCACTCAGCCACCGCCACTCTGCCTGCCTGCCTGCAGATGCGGGGCGGGGCGGGCGAGCATCGGTGCTGCTGCAGCACATGCCCAGCGGCGACCCGGGGGGCAGCCGGCTGCGCGCCGCGGGGCGCATGTGGACGGGCGTGGGGGCCACGCTGGCCCGAGACGTTCCCTTCTCAGCTCTGTACTGGGGCATGGTGGAGCCGATCCGCGCTGCGCTGCTGCCGCCGGCGCACGGCGCCAGCGCCACCGAGTGGGAGGTCTTCTCGGCCAACGTGACGGGTGAGGGCTGGGGGCGCAGCGCTGGCACATAAGTGTGGCCTGCACAGGGCTGGCAGCGTCACCTGTGGCCTGCCTGCCGTGCTGCTCGGCGTTTGGTTCTGCCGCGTGGGCTGTGCGTGGGCTGCTCTGCTGCTGTGCCCGCCTCCCTGCCCAGCCTCTCTGCGAGCTGCCCACATCGCCTGCCGCTCATCAGGGCCCGGCATGCCTCCGCTGCCCTCCCCTGCAGCCGGCGCCGTGGCGGGCGGCCTGGCGGGCGCCATCACCACGCCCTTTGACGTCCTGAAGACGCGCACGCAGCTGCAGGCGGCTGACAGCGGGCACCCCATGCTGACCAGCCTGCGCGGCATTGCGCGCCACGAGGGCGTGGCGGCGCTGTTCCGCGGCTGGAGCGCTCGCTCGGCCAAGGCCGCCCCGGCCTGCGCCATCGTGCTGAGCAGCTACGAGCTGATCAAGCACCTGTCCTGAGCTGGCGCAGGCAGGCTGCCTGCTGGCATGCCGCAGCCTTAGCCCATGCGTCTCAGCAAACTCAGCAGGCTGTCTACTGCGCTCCTCTCGGTCCCACCCTCGTGCTCCTACCATCCTCTTTTGACATATCCCTTTCCTTGCCGCTCTGCCATCCCTTCCGCTCAATTCACCCTGTACCGGTACCGCTCAGCTCCCAATAAACCCGCCAATTGATCGCCGATTTCATGCGCAGTACCCTCCTGCTCCCACACACTCCATCTTTACTGTACTTGATCAGTGTTCCCTTGCATGCAATCCAATAGCAAGCAGTTGAGGAGGGCTCATGGGCTGGAGCAGGAGCCACCGGCGATACCAGGCGGGCGATGGTGGTCTCGGCGTGCGCTGATGGGCTCAGACATGCGACATCAGTGCAGCATGCTCTCCAGGCGTGAGGCTACAGGGAGGTTGCATGGTCCAAGGAAAATTCTGACTTTCCAACAACCCATCCATCGACCCCCAACACGTTTTCGGGCTGACCGCATTGACTCCTCAACGTTAATTGCTTTTTGGCTTCCTCATACACCACACCCCCAACTGCACATCAGAATGAAGCCTGCCCTCCCCCTGCTGCTGGGATGTCTGCTGCTGGCAGCAGGCACCCAGGCCGCTCCAGGTGGGCCTGCACCCACTCTCTGCTGGTCACTGGTGCCTGTGCTTACCCAAATGCCGGGGGGGTGCGCTGGTCGAAACGGCTGGCGACTGGTTGGGGGCGCGGTGTAGACGGCACTGACGGCACCGCCCTGGCGCGCCCACCACCCACCCATCCCTGCCTTCCCTTTCCCCCTGCGTGCAGCCAGCCGCCGCCTTCTCCAGACTGCCTCAGCCGACGCCAATGCCGCAGCCCAGGCTATCGGTGCGGGCGCCTCGGCCAACGCCGCTGCCTCTGCCTCCGCATCAGCCGGCGCTGTCGCTCCCCCCACCCCGAAGCCTCCCATCATTGTTGTTCCCAAGCCCTCCCCCTCACCCAAGCCCAAGCCACCTGTTGTCATCGTCATCCCTAAGCCCAAGCCTGCCCCCACTCCCGGTGAGGGAGAGAGGGCCTGGCCCTGCATCTTGCTGCACATAGCGCCCTGGACTAGCCAGCGCCCTGGACCAACCGCCAGCCGGTGCCTGCCCGCCTTCCCATTCCCGCTGCGGCCGACTGACAGCGCGCCCCCTTCACTGACCTTCTTGCGCGTGCCTGCCCGCCTCCCCTCCCTGCCGCCGCGCCTGCCAGAGTACTGCGAGGGCGCGATCGCCGAGGCGTGCTGCACAGATTTGGTGGAGCTGGACTACAAGCACAAGGTCATCTCCCCCACCAAGTGCGCGGTGGTGCTGGAGCCCGAGCCCGAGCCCGAGCCCGAGCCTGCGCCGGTCAAGAAGCACCCCTGGCTGAAGCACCCCTGGTGAGCACGGCAGGGGGCAGGCCGCGAGCGAGCGGCAGAGCCGGCGCGCATCAGCGTCAACCGCCCGCTTCAGCCGTGCGCGTGCTGGGAGCAGCAGCACTGACATTGTAAAGCCGGGCGTGCCTGGTGGCCTCCCCTCGCCCCCCGCAGGCTGGCCGCCTCTGCGGGCGCCGCCGCCAGCGCAGACGCCGAGGCGTACGGCGCCGACGACAGCTCCGCCACCGCTGCCGCGTCGGCGGAGGCTGAGGCTGAGCCTGAGCCCGAGGTGCTGGAGCTGGTTCTGGCAGAGAAGACGCTGCCCCTGAACTGGACTGACGGCGAGGTGAGCAGGGATGCCCCGCAAGGCGCACCGCTGGACGCCGCCAGCCAGCGGTTCGTCATGCAGGCGGTTCCTTTTTAGGGCCGCCTAGGCGCACACACACGCATGAATGGCCTCGGCTGTGCCGTGAAGGACTTCTACTGCATCTGCAAGCCCAAGGCCAAGCCGGCTAAGGTTGAGGTCGAGGCGGAGGAGGAGGAGGAGGCGCCCGGGCACCCCATCATCGCCCTCCCCGAGAAGGTGGTGCCCTGCGCTGGGCCCGGCTCATCCGCCAGATGCAATGCATTGCCAGGCTCTGTCTGCCCGCTGCTGCCTGCCAGCCCGCCTCCTGAAGCTCCTCTGCCGCTCTATTTTGCCCTGCACTTGTCCTGCAGGACCTGATCCATCCCAAGCTGCCCGTGCATCCCAACCTGCCCGTGCATCCCACGCCTGGTGAGGCCACCGCCGAGGCCTCGGCCGCGGCTTCTTCCTCCTCCAACGGCGCCGCCGCCAGCTCTGCCCACGCCTTTGGATCCGGTGAGCTGAAGCTCAGCTGGGCGTAAACCCCTGCCTGTTTGCCGATGCCATAGATGCGTGCCATAGATGTGTGCCGAAAGAGGCAGGCGCTGGCGGCGCGTGCTGCCATGCTGCATCTGGCTCCCACACCAGGCTGCTGGGCTCTGCCTCCATGCCATGCAGCTGTGGCCTTTGGCGACCGCCGCTGAGCTGAAAGTGTTGCCAGCACCGGGAGCTGGGGACAACGGCCCATCTCAAGTTTGATTTCTGAGCACGACAAGTCCCATTTGTGGTATGGGCAGGCGACGAAACTCAACTCACAACATCCCTCTACTCCTTACTCTCTATCTATTCATGAAATTCATGCACAGATCCCCCCCGTTATCTCATGCCAGCACCCACCCCAGCGCTGCACGACCGCACCTGCATTTCATCCCCACGCTTGATTCCTTCTGATCTGTACTCGATGACGGTTGACCAATCTATGATCAATTGAGCACCCTCAGCAATCCCTGATTGTAAGGTTTAGCGTCTGGATGCAAAAGCAGAGGGTGATGGTGGCCAACTGGCAAGCGGGCAGTGAAGGCGGGGGTGAAAGGTGGCGGCGGCGGGGTTTGTGTGTGGGTGGCCAGCAGGAGGCTGCCTGCAGTTTGGCCCCCCCAGATGACGGGCTCACAGCGGCAGAGTGTCTTTTTGTACTCCCTGTACTGCTGTACTGCTGTACTGCAGCCTTCTCATCTCCTCCCTTGGACCAGCATTTGCTCCCATTCTGCCTCTCTCTGCCTGCCCCTTTCCCCCCTCCTGCCTCCACCAGCCATGAAGGCCTTCCTTGCCGTCTGCCTGCTGGCCCTGGTGGCCACCGGTGAGTGCCCTGCTTGGCCACCTTGCCTTGGACAGGGCCTGCACGCCTGCCCTGCCTTGGACTGGGCCTGCACGCTTGCTGGGGCAGCAGGGGTGCCTGCATGGGTCCCTGCTGCTGCTGCCGAGCTGTGCATGCAAGCGGATCGCCGGCGCGCGTCGCCGGTGCCAGGACAGAGTGACAATGCACAGGGGCGCCAGCGCTGACATGCCTGCCTGCCCCTCCCAGCTGCTGTGCTCGACCCAGGGCGCCTGCAAGCTGTGGTCTGCATAGGGTTCGGTGCCCCTGAGCACGCCCCGCCCGCCGCCGCCTGCTGCCACGTCGCCGCCTTGTCGGCTTGCAGGCGCAACCGCCCGCCACCTGACTGATTACTATCTGGATCCCGTGTCTGGCAAGGTTTACACCAAGGCCAAGACGAAGGCAGTCAACGGTGAGCGCCTTGGGCTTCCGCCCTCGGCGTGCGCTGCCAGCAGCCCTCGGCGTGTGCTGCCAGCAGCCCTCGGCGTGCGCTGCCGGTGCTGCACGCCCCCCGACAGCAAGCCCCGCGTGCCGGCATCTCCCTGCCGCCGCCCCACCCCGCCCCGGCCCGTCCCCTCCTCAGGCGCCAAGGCCGACGCGGATGCCTTTGGGCTGGTCAAGCGCAACATCATTCTGTCCAAGGCCGACGCCGACTCCCGCTCCTACCCTGGCGGCTTTGGCAAGGCAAGGGATGCTGCCGGGGCTTGGGGTAGCTGGGCAGGCCTCCTTAAGGAGGCTGGGCCAGGGCCTGCCAACAGGCCTGGCTTCCAGCCTTGCCTGATGGCTGCCCTGCGTTTGAGCTCCCTGCTGGCACACCACGCCATGCCCGCCTGCTGCACTTCCTTGCAGGCCGAGGGCAAGGCTGTGTCCATCGGCACCGGCGAGGACCAGGTCCGCGGCATCACCAAGGCCGAGGCAGACACCCTCACCATCGGCAGTGAGCATCCGTTCTGCTGCTGGCAGGGAGCTGGCTGGGAATGAATTCATGCAGCCTGCCTGCTGCGCCATGTGCTGCAAGAGAGCTGGCAGTGGCTGCGGCATGGCTCGCCCAAGCCGCAGGCCACACGTTGCCAACCGGGCAGCCCCCTGCCTGCCCGCCTGACTGCCCGCGCGCCGCATGTGCAGATGCCAAGGGCGAGGCTGAGGGCTTTGCTCTGATCAAAGATGATGAGATCAAGGCATCCGCCGAGGCCGAGTCCAAGGCCGGCCCTGGTGGAGTTTCAAAGGCAAGTGTTATGTAGCCTGCCAGGCATGGCACAGCCAGTGGCTGTGCCCGCCTCGACGTGCCCGCCCCGACCTGCCGCTCTGCTCCAGCAGCCCCGAACTGTGCCATCCCACTCGCTGGTGTATGCCGTGCAGTCCGAGGCGAAGGGCTCTGCCAAGACCTTCCCCTGATGCGTCGCGGAGAGACCGCCCGCTCATGCTGCAAGCGGCCCTGCAGGGGCTCCAGACCCTCTATCAACCACCACCTAGCTTGATGTATCCACAGAACCCCTTCCCCTGAACGCGGAGAGAACACCCCCCACACTTGATAGCCCCCTTTCAACCCCCTGCTGCCGCTGCGCATGCTCTGCGCCACTGAATGCGTGCAGTTTTTGGTATCCCTCGATCCCTCCCCGATACGTCCATAAACCCACCCTTCCACATGATTGTCTCATGAATCCCCCAACGACCAAAGCCAGTCTGGCTCACTCTCGTGTGCATGGCAAGGCGGCGCGCCAGACTGTGTAAATATTGAGTGTTGCCACAGCGCGCTAAAGCTGTGCGAGGGAGGGAGAGGTGGGCGCTGAGGCTGTGGCGGGGTCGACACCCTGGAGAAGTGGTGGGGTGTGCTACCGGAGGCGGCTGCTGCTGGGCAGATGGGAGTGGTGGCGAGCAATGGCAA